AAATTTGACAAAAATGTATAAATATACATTTTGAAAAGAATATGTGAGAGAACTTGAAATAAAGAATTCTACCTGTGAATTTTTTCATTTGTGATTTTGAATAATACCCTCATCCTTTGAATTTTGAAGCAGAACACCTTCCAGGGTTTTGCAGGAGTATACTAAAAAGTATACAAGGACCTGACATTTCCTTTAAGAACCCGTGTTGTCATGAGATCTATGGGAAGGCCCCCAGTAGCAACATAGAGTGGGAAGCATGCCCCCACAGGAAAATATCCCCAAGGACAGAGGGTGGTGGATTTCTGGATCTCACCAGGGAGAGGACTGTGGTGTTTATTTTAACTCCCCGTCCTTCATGTGTCCTCCGAGTCAGTTGCTATTTTGACTGTGAGCATCTTCTTGCAGCTGGTGGTGTGCTGACTGTTGACACCCTCCCCAAAGAGTGCGCTGCCTCTCTGCCCGCTATGCCCTGTCAGTCTTTCCACATCTATCTGTTAAGTGCTGGGCGACTCATTCCTATGAAGCACACACTATAAGAGAAGAGTCCTGCTTATGAACGCCCACAATCTAGTTTTAGAGGAAAAACACATATGAAATATGTGTCTCTTGATGGAAAGATAAAGTGCAAAAAGTTGTCACTGTCAAATGTAATATATTCCTCTTAGTGAAAACTACCAACCTTTACTTAGTGAAAAAATACTGTATTTAGGACATATTCACTGTTAGAACAATATTCACTGTTCTATAGATATTGTCCTAATGTGTAAAAAGATTTCAAATCTAGGGTCACAAAATCTCCTATAAATCACTTGACAAATCAAATGGGCCAATGGTTAGTATTCTTAAAATGTCCTATTATTTGTTCTTTATTAAAGTGCTCTATGCATGTATGCATGCACACATACACAACATTAAAATGGAACCCAGACAGACTTACAGTGTCATTGACAGCTGTCCTTTGCACTCTCTGAAGGCATGACCATGGACTCAGTGGTCTTTGAGAAGGGAGTCTTTCCCTGTCATTTTCCTGCCACCCTGTCTCTTAATGCTACCTTCACACTGTTATCATTGCTTCTAGCCTTGGACTTCTATACATGACAGTGGAGTCACTTGCTGATGGCTTTTCCATCAGCTTATTTAGTTCTAGAATCAATGCTATCAGAATGACAAGCCTTGGGCACCAACATAGCAAGTATTTGTCTGAGGAGCGATGGAACAGGATTGTCCTCACACTGCTCCATACACACCATGCTGGCTGTAGGTCATTGTGCCATTCCAGGCAATGGAAACCTTTTGATGGATGGGTGGTTTTGTTGATTTGGAGGTGTTTCATCTATTTTATTTTACAAATGTTCAAATAATAATGCTAGTTACCTATTATTATTACTATTGCCATTACTCTAACCCTGGATGGTTGAGAATTAGCTGGTCATTTATAATCAGGGATTTGGCACAAATTCAGTGGGGAGAGAGGTCCCCGAGGGAGAAGCAAGGAAGGCAGAGAAGATCCTGGTAACTGGAGGCATCTGGGCTGAATCCTGAAAGCAGATGTGTATGAGGGTCGGGAGGAAGTGCCCAGGGCTCTGCATAAATGTCTAGAAGAATCTGCTCTAGGGATCTCAGGGACAAGATGGGAGAAGGAAGCCAGAGTAGCCATTGGGTCTTGGGCAGCCTCATCCCTAAAGTCTGTGATGGGAGATTGCTAGACACCCAGTGGAAAGGGACATGCTGCTGCTCGATGCTCTGAACCTGGAAGCACTGACCCTGTAGCAGTTTAGTAGTGAGTGAATAAAGCCACTGGAAATGCCTATTCACTGTGGCAACTACGTGGGCACCTTCTGTCAAGCCAAAGGTCTGAAACATGATGGAAAAAGACGCCTTTCTCTGACACATCTACCCTGCAGATGCAATTGGTCTAGAATTAGTCTCAGAGTCTTGTCAGAGATTTTGCACAGGGATTGGTAATCTTGTGAAAGTCAGATGAAAGTTTGTTTTGAAGCCGGGCTCGGTGGCTCAACCTGTAATCCCACGCCTTTGGGAGGCTGAGGTGAGTGGATTGCCCGAGCCCGCGGGTTCGAGACCCGCCTGGGCAGCGAGACCTCATCTCTACAATAAATCAAAAAATCAGCCAGGCGTGGTAGCGCATGCCTGTAATTCTGGCTACCCGGAAGGCTGAGGCAGAAGGATCTCTGGAGCCCAGCAGGTCGAGGCTGCGGTGGCTGGGAGCGGCCACTGCACTCCAGTCTGGGCGACAGAGTGAGACTCCAACTCAAAAAAAAAAAAAGAAAGTTTGTTTTGACCAACAAGAAATAGTTTTGAAAGGTCAAGAGAGCCCTGGAGGTGGGGACGAGCCCTTCTGGTCTGGCCTTGAGCTTAGCTGTTCTTCCTGCCCCTTCGCTGTATTGATTGTCCTCTCTGCAGTGCCCTGTTTTCCTCTGGAATTTTTTCTGCTTTTATACCAGTTTGATTAGTTTCTTAAACGTCAGCCTGTAACTAAATGTGTGCCCTTTCCCAATTGTATTCTTGTTCTTTTCTTTTTTCTAAATTATCCAGACTACATCAAAGCTGATTTATTGTTGTGTTTTCCTGTTAGTATACTATATTCTGAAGTGTTATTATGTAGCAACTGACGTTTTTACCACTGTCTCTGAGCAAACCAGATTCCTAGAACTACAGTGTTTCAAGTATAGGCCTTTTTAAACTCCCTCTTGGGGCCAGGTGTGGTGGCTCATGCCTAGCCCCATTCCAACACTTTGGGAGGCTGAGGTGGAAGGATCTCTTGAGGCCAGGAGTTTGAGACCAGCCTAAGCAACATTGTGAGAACCTGTTTCTACAAAAAATTGTTTAAAATTAGCTGGGTGTGGTGGAGCATGCCTATAGTCCTAGCTAAATGGATGCTGAAATGGGAGGATTGCTTGAGCCTAGAAGTTAAAGGCTACAGTGTGCTATGATTGCACAACTGCACTCCAGCCTGGATGATGCAGTAAGACGCCATTTCTAAAAGAATAAAAAATTTTAAAAATCCTTCTTGGTCCCTAGGCACACGATCTCCACTGTAGATTTCCTTCTGTCTACCCACAGTTGTAGAGCCCCAAGGTGACGCTTCTGCACACTATGAGTGTGAGAACCGTTGCCCTGGAAAGCATGCAGGATGTGTGCATCTAAGCAGTGTGGCACTCTCTTTAAGAAGAGGGAGGGGTGAAGATGCCTCTGCTGCCCATGATTTCCTCTCAACCCTTTTCTTTTGGCTTTTTGATGGTTCTCTTGGCGTGTTCCCTTATGAATAATTTCATTTTCCCTTCCTTTTGTGGCTGATACAGTAAGAGGGTTTCCTTTTCCAAAACAGGAGAAGGATTTTCCAAGCCAGTTTAGAGGCCTGAGGAGGATCCCCGGGGGCAGAGAGAGGCTTAGGTTGGTCTAGTCCAGTTCACCAGGCGCCAAAGGTTTTCAGTAATATACAGATTTGTGGGGGAGGAGGAAAAATGATTACTTTTTTGGCACCAAAAACAGTCTACTTAAACCCAATAATTTGTCTGTGTTTACTGCAGCCATCTTTGTGGCTTGCAGTAGTGCGTTCCTGGATGTCTGAATTTCACCAGGCAGTAGTATTTTTCTCCTTGTGAGAACTTCTCATGGGCAGACTTCCCTCTACCCCCTACTCACTCCAAGATGATACCCTTCTAAGTGGCTTCTGGGGTGGGGCTTCTGAAGAGGCTGCCCATATAGCAGATAGAGTGGGCTCCCAGTCACATACTCCTGGCCACATCCCCCCAGAGGGATGCCCGCCCTGGCACTTCACAGTGCCAACGCATCACCAGCTGCTGCCCAGGACAGGGCCTCTGTGCTTGAGTGAACTCTTTCCTGGCCTTTTTGAAAGGTCATACAGGGAAGTGCTGGATAGATGTGGGGAGGAGATGGAGGAAGTACCTCCGTAGACCAAAACAAAAGATTGCCCAAAGCCATCCCTGTGTCAGTCACTGACCAACAGATACACCTATGGCTTTCCTTTACAGACTGGGGCTGCAGGGCTGGAGCCTTCTGTGTCGGGACCTCTCCCAGGCTGAGTCATCAAGGGCCACACAGACTGCTACCCTTCTGAGCCTCAGGAATGACTTGATGACCACGTGAGCCATCATTCATACACATTGCACCTAGTCAGGCAAACCACATGGGAAATGTGCGTTTGCCTTGGATCTACTCTGGTACATTCTGGCTTAGGTGGGGTTTCCCTTTGCTCCCGAGCTGTTGAGGAAAACAAATGCTGAAGGTTATATCTGCCTGGGGTAACTGGCATAGGCCAAGTTGTAGCCACATCACTCCCTCTGGATGCCTTAAATGGGTTATTCTGGTCTCTTAACTTCTCAATCCAGCACCCCACTTTTTCTAAGGAATCAGGCCTTGGTTATCTCCATCTAATCTCCATCTAACTCTATGACAAGTTCCAACACATTTCCTCTGTTTTCTCGGCTCCCTGTGTTACAAAGCTCCTGTTACCAAGGCCCCTTATTGATGTAAATTTCAATTTAGAAAGCACTCATATTTACCAAACATGACTCTTGCCTATAGACTAAATGTAAAATTTTAGTCACCACACACACACAAAAATAAGAGCTTTGGAGAATCATTGCATGAAAATAACGTTATTCACCTAGTTTAAGATGAAAGAAAAAAATGCATTCATTTATTGAGTAATTTTTTTTTTTATTTTTTTTTAGAAAGCAGAATTTATTGAGAAGACAATAGCTCCCAGAGCAGGAGGGGACCTAAGGGGGTTGTCCTACTGAGTACTTTTTATAAGAGGTTTAAAAAGGTACTCTAACTATTGCTTATAATTTGTAGTCACTGATGTTGATGAATAATTGAAAGGGAAAAAACTCCTTAGAAGCAGCAGATTAATCACAGCAACGTCTCCCATTTTGCTCATACACACAGTTGTCTTTTATTGTTTGCTATTTTCTTTCTTCAGTTTTAAGTAGAGATTTTTCTTTCTCCTTTTTCAGGGAGAGTTCAAGTAGATGACCTTGGGGAATTGGAAAGCTGTGATATGATGGTTCTGAAGTCAGTCCACATCTGAAGCCATGATTTAAATATCAGAATTGAGGTAAGTATTGAGGAAAGAAATATAACAGCTTTGTGGTTAATGCATTGTTGGTTTTGTCTGCATTCTGGGAATAGGTTAAAGTATGTTGTGAGGGGTGATTTTGTTTGAATTACGTTCAACAAACCAGAGCTCTGAGAAAATTCAAGTGGCCTCTGTAATGTGGTATCGGACCACAGACATACAGGGGAATTGAGCTACTGTGCCAGTTGGAAAAGTCTTCATATTTCCTTGGTGGTCATATGTCCCAATGTGCCCTGTAGGAGTTCCAGAAAAGAAAAACTTAATATTGTGATTTTCTTTTTGAACCGAACTGTGCCTAAAGGAACTTTCAGGGACTCTAAATTAGACTTGCTAGATAGCAGAGCCAGCCTCAGAAGTGGGGGCAAAAGCACCTTTCTAGGTATTGTGTTATTTGACTTGTTTCTCTGGGAAAGTACTTGTCAAAGTGTGTTCCCTTTGGTACACCGCTCCCAAGACTATTAATACAGTGGGAATGGGAGTCGGAAGATGGTTCTGTGCCCAAGCGAGTTTGGAAAACATTGAAATTAAATGACCTTCCTCAAAACTAACAAGCCTTGTGAATCCCCATGGGTCTGTATAGTGGGCAGTGGGCGCCAGAGTTCTGTGGAACTCTTATGGGGTATCTTGGCACCAATGTTCCATTTGTTTATTAAGTATTTATTGGATCCCAGCCATGCATGATATTAGATGCTAGGGATACAGAAATAAAGGAGATTGGCGGTGCTTGTGTATAGATAGTAAATGAATTAATAAGTCAGGAAAGGTAATTATTGAGAGGCATGACAACGAGTGTTCAAGAGAATGGTCTCTAGCTCGGTGGCCTGGTGTTTAATCCTGGGTCTGACACTTAAAAACTGCATGGTCCCTTTCCGTCTGGCGGCAGCCATCAGCGCTGAGCCAGGATGGGCGCCTACAAGTACATCCAGGAGCTGTGGCGGAAGAAGCAGTCGGATGTCATGCGCTTCCTGCTCCGGTTGCACGGCTGGCAGTACCGCCAGCTCTGGGCACTGCACCGCACCCCACGCCCCACGCGGCCAGACAAGGCGCTCAGGCTGGGCTAGAAGGCCAAGCAAGGCTATGTCATCTACCGGATCTGCGTGCGCCTGGGCGGCCGCAAACGCCCAGTCCCCAAGGGCGCGACCGACGGCAAGCCTGTGCACCACGGCGTCCGTCAGCTCAAGTTCGCGCACAGCCTGCGGTTCGTGGCCGAGGAGCGACCTGGACACCACTGTGGGGCTCTCTAAGAGTCCTGGGTTCCTACTGGGTTGGTGAAGATTCCACATCCAAGTTTTTCGAGGTTATCCTCATCAATCCATTCCATAAAGCCATCAGAAGAAATCCAGACACCCAATGGATCACCAAGCCAGTTCACAAGCACCGGGAGATGCGGGGGCTGACGTCGACTGGCCACAAGAGCCAAGAGCCATCACCTTGGGAAGGGCCACAAGTTCCACCACACCCTTGGTGGCTTGCGGCGGGCAGCCTGGAGGAGGCGTAACACTCTGCAGCTGCACCGCTACCGCTAACCCAAGTCGTGTTTGTAACCCCCCCAATAAACAATGAGGACAGTCAAAAAAAAAAAAAGAAACTGCATGACCTTGAGCAAGATACATTGCCTCTCTTCCAATTCCCTCATCTGTTGTAAAATGGTGATAAGAGTATCTACTTTGTAGATACTATTGTTGTGAACTAAAATTATGAATATTGAACTCTACAAAAGTGTCATCAGAACGTGTGCATATAATAATAATGATGAGTGCTTTGAAGGTTATGTGGATGACTGACTAGGGAAGATATGGTGATGGGTGGGGACTTCTGAATAGGACAATCCAGGAATGTCCCGAAGTAGAGAACTGTGAAGATGAGAAAAAGCAAAGTATGGCAGATAGTATAGGAAAAACATTCAGAGAGGAAAGCAAATGCAGAAAGGTGCATCTTGTGCTGAGAAAGCATTTGATAAAATTCAATACCTCTTCATCTTTAAAAAAGAAAAGAAAACAGAAGCCACTCAACAAACTAGGAATAAAAGATACTTCTTCAACCTGAAAAGGGCATCTATGAAAACTCCATGGCTTCCATCATACTGAATGGTGAAGAACTGAAAGCTTTTCCCCTAAGATCAGAGACAAGATAAGAATGTCCATTCTCATCTCTTCTGTTCTGTTCTGATGGTTAATTTCAGGTGTCAACTTGACTGGGTTAGGGAATACTAGCAAAGCATTATTTCCAGATGTGTCTGTGAGGGTGTTTCAGGAGGATATTGGTATGAGTCACTGGAGTGATGAGGAAGATCTGCCCTCTGTGTGGGTGGGCACTGTTCCTCTTCTTCTCCTGCCCTTGGACATTAGAACTCCAGGTTTTCTGGCCTTTGGATCTAGCATGTATACCAGCAACCGCTGGGCTCTTAGGTCTTCAGCCTTGGGCTGAGAGTTATGCTATCAGTTTCCTTGGTCCTAAAGCTGTCATATTTGGACTGAGCCAGGTTACCAGCCTTCCTCATTGTTGACTGTGAAGATGGCCTATTGTGGGATTTTTCAGGTCCCATTATCATGGGAGCCAGTTCCTCTAATAAATATCATCTATTTGACCATTCAGCCATTTGTCTGTCTGTCCATTCATCTATCCATCCTATTGATTCTGTTTCTCTTGAGAACCCTGACTGATAGTATTGTGCTGGAGGTTCTAGCCAGGTATATTTGTGCAAGAAAAGGATGTAAGGGGCTTCCAGATTAGAAAGGAAAAGGTAAAACTAACTCTACTTACAGAGATGGCATGATCTTGTGTGTCGAAAATTACTAGGAATCCACTAAATTATTAAAACGAATAAAAGTTCAACAAGATTGCAGGATATAAGATCAATATATAAAAATCAATGGTATAATAATCTGAAATGAAATTGAGAAAATAATTCATTTTTATAATAGCATGAAAAGGAATAAAATAATTAGGAATAAATTTAACAAAGAAATGTAAAACATTTACTCTTAAAACTCCAAAACATTATTGAGAGAAATTAAAGAAAGCTGAGAGTTGTGGCTCATACTTGTAATTTCAGCACTCTGGGAGGCTGAGATGGGAGGATTCTTGAGTCAGGAGTTCAAGATCAGCCTAGGCAGCATAGCAAGACCTCGGATCTACAAGAAACTTAAAAATTAACTGGGCATGGTGGTGCATGCCAGTAGTCCCAGCTACTTGGGAGGCTGAGGCAGAAGCATTGCTTAAACCCAGGAAATCGAGGCTGTAGTAAACTGTGATCATGATACTGCACTCCATGTTTATAGATAAGAAAACTTAATATTTAAAATGACAATACTCTGCAAATTGATCTATAGATTTGATGCCATCTATCAAAATCTCAGACAAATTCTTTTAGAAAATTGGCAAGTTGATCCTAAAACTAATATGGAAATTAAAGGAACCAGAATAGCTACAACAATCTTGAAAAAGAAAAACACAGTAGGAAAACTCAACTTCCTGACTTCAAAATTTATCACAAAACTACAGTAATCAAGACAGCATAATACTTACATTCTAGTCTATTCTATTGAGAGAATAAAAATAAACCTATATGTTATTTATGGTCAATTGGTTTTCAACAAATGTGCCAAAACGATGTTATGTGGAGAAAATAGTCTCTTCAACAAATTGTTCTGGGATAACTGAATATCCACATGCAAAGGAATGAAGCTGGACTCTTACCTCACACTGTATAAGCAAGTTAACTCAAAATGAAAAAGAGGCTTAAATGTAAGAGCTACAACTTTAAAACTCTTAGGAAAAAACATAGACATACATTTAAGTACCTTGGATTGGACATAGTTTTTTAGATATGACTCCAAAAACACAGGTGACAAAAGAAAAATCAATGAATTGAGCTCCATCAAAATTAAAAATGTATGTGTATCAAAAGACACTATCAAGAAATTGAAAATAGATACCATAAAAGGGAAGAAAATAGTTGCAAATCATACATGTGATAAGGGATTGTATCTAGACTATATAAATAACTCTTAGGACTCAGTAACAAAAAGACAACTTGCTTAAAAATGGGCAAAGGATCTGAATAGACATTTCTCCAGAGAAGATATGCTAACAGATAATAAGCACATGAGAAGAAGACTGTCAACATCATTGGTGATTAGGTAGATGCAAATAATAATCACAATGAGAAACCACTTTATACCCACTGTGAAAGACAGATAATGACAAGTGTTGGTGAGGATGTAGAGAAACTGGAGCTCCCATGTTTCAAAAGCAACTACTTTAGAAAACAGTTTGGCAGTTCCTCAAACAATTCATCATAGATTTGCCTTTTATAACCCAGTATATCCATTCCTAAGTATATATTCAAGAGAAATGAAAACATATGTCTATACAAAAACACTAATGTTTATAACAGCATTATTCATATACCCAAAGAATGGAAACAACCCAAATGTTTGTCAACTGATGAGTAGATAAATAAAACACGGTATATCCATACACTAAAATATTATTTGACTATAAAAAAGGAATGGAGTACTGATATATACTAAAACATGGACAAACATGGACAAACCTTGAAAACATGCTAAGTGACAGAAGCCAAAGAACACATGTTTTCTGATTTTATTTATATGAAGTTTTCAGAACAGGCAAATCTGTAGAGACAAAAAGTAGATTTCTGGTTACCTACTACTGGGGTGTAGAGGGGTAAATTAAGAGTGACTGTTATGGGTCTGTTTTTTCTTTTCTGGATGATGAAAATTTCTAGAATTGATAATGGTCATACAACTCGGTGAATATACTAAAAACCATTGAATCATACACTTTAAATTGGTGAATGTTATGATGTATGGGTTATATATCAATAAAGCTGTTATATATATTTTAAGAGGATATCTCTTGGAGATTTAACTATCAGCACTTGGTGATAGATGAGATTTAGGGAGTGAGGACAAGGGAAGAATTAGGAGTTACTCCTAAATTTTGACCTTTGG